TCGACCGTAAACATCGTCTAAATCGGAAAGAAACTTTCCCGCTTGAAATTCGGCCATACACTCTTGAAACTCTTTAAATATGACTTATCTGCTGGTACCGCTCTTAGCCGCGGCGCCCACTTAAGCAACATGATTTCGACATGGCTTGTAGCATGATTCTGACGATGCTCTGACGTGACCACGGGTGACACTGCTTGCACCAACCTGTGCAACCATAGTATGTCGCAGAATTCAGTTTGAGCCAAAATGTTGTCTGAAAAGGATAAAAATGCCCTTGCTTTGCTACAGATTTCAAATATTCAAAGTGCCAGCAGAAGATTTTGGGTACATCCTTTGCGGAAAAAAATTGAAGTAGTGGTACTTTCAAAGCTATGAAGGAATTAGAATTACATTTTGCATAGACAAGTCACTACAAGTTCGTGTTACGCGCCACTTCAATGCGTCATTAACAAGCTGAATGGCACGTCAATTCATGCAGCGTCACGCCGTACGAATGGGCGCTGCCATAGATAAATATGGGCGCTGCTACATACAATCGCTTTGAAATTTGAATGTTGAGGCGAGTGACAAGTTACGCGTCAAATCTCGCGTCAGACACAGCGTCAGATCACGCGTTACGTTACTTAGGTGGGCGCCGCGGTTTATAAACACTGCGTTTCATTTTTGATCTTTAAAGACTAAACGGTCATACGATAAGAAAAACTCGAAATACAACAAAAAATCTTAGAGCAAATTATACAAAGCTACCATATGACCATAGATAAATAAATATGTAGCAAGCGTAGAGAGAGAATATACATACTCACTCTACGGTAGCAAGCTAGATATGACCACAGAACACATATAACCCATAGACATAGTATCCTCTATCTACGATATAACCCTAAAGCTGGATATGACAGCTGAGTTACTTATTCAGTTTGACAATAATTTATTGTTGCCAGTACAACCAAAAGCAGTAGTTCCAAAAATATTATTTTCATGACTTTCTTGACAGACTATACTGCCTGTTATTTGTGTCTCATCCGACCAACCGATGTAACATTTCACGAGCGTCCATTGTTTTCAATTTTTCTATTTAAATATTACTTTGAAGCAAAAAAACCCACTAAGGTTTTCGGAAAATACTTGAATCATTAATACTTTTGTATTGTGTGTCTATTTTTTTAATATTTAATAATTTTTAAAATTATTAAAATAAAGAAAATATTATGTTCGTCATTGCAAAGTTATATCGATCGCAAATTCAAAGTCAAAAACGTCAAGCTATGTTGTACAGAGTATAGCAGCTTTTGTGAAGTCGCGTGTTTATTTTTTAAATCTTCTTATGGTATTACTGTGAAATAAAAAGAATATTTTTGTTATGATATTGTAGAATAAATCAGTAAATGTAACTTTTCTTGTTTTTTTATTATTAAGTTATTCACTAACTAGATCTAAATTGTATATATCCAAAATATTTTTATCATTGTTATTAAAAATACACATTGTGTAATGTGATTATGATTGAATACACATTGCCGATCCACGATTGCCGATAATCTTTAAAGTTATTTGCTTGCTATAAGTTGTCATATGCTATAAGAGCTAAATATTTATTAACTCTACATTTACTATACAAAAGTTCCACATCGGGTCGATTTTCACAAGCAAATGAACTCGCAATGCGTGGAGGGCTAAATAAGGCGTTCATTGTAGTATAAAAATGTTGCATAGTGGATATTTAATTTTAATGTTTAGTAAGCTTTCGTTAAAAAGTCTTTCTTTTTGAAATGCAGACTGCAAACAACACTATATTTTGCTAATTTTTTTAGTGGCATGCAATACTTGAATCCATTTGCTTCTAGTTTCTTCGTCATTAGGAAATTTGAAATAAACTTAGTATCAATTTATAAACAAAGAAATTTATTTTTTATCTAAATTTATATAAAAATTTAAAGACATAAGGTAGTTAATTCATCATTATGCAAATAGTTGTACATATAATATAATAATGTAGGTACGGTCAGCTTTTTAAGCAAAACTCGTAACTTCATTCAAACCATCTTTTATCAATATAAATATTTACATCTCTTTTTATTACTTTTAATTAGATAAGGTAATGGATAACACAAAACATGAATTAAATTTGACTTCATTCATAATTTATCAGGCTTTTTCGTTCCTTTTTAAACCTGGCCTATGTTTCTATGTATGAACCAGATGGAACGTCCACAAAGTTCATAATAACAGAGGCACCCTAATTCCTCTAAAACAGAATTCTCTTACCTGTGGAAATATTTGCCACAACCTGGATGTGATTCACTTTTACAGCCATTCACAATACAATTTTGGACCATTTTAAACCAAACTCTCTCAAATTAACCACAATTAAGAGTAAAAGTCACAATTTTATGAAACCGATGCCAATAGTAATATAAGTAAACCAATTGCGCTATTACTTTAATTTTTATTAGTTTGTGAAACAAATGGACGCCATATTGGTCATAATACCAAAACCGAAGTTGTACAATATTGCATGCCTTAAGCGCAACACGCGTATGTATGTTCTACTAGCGCCTAAAAATCAAGATTACAACGTTTTTTCGCATGAAATCGTATCTAGCAATCATATTATACATATAAATGATATAAAAAGCACATTGTCAGAAAGATAAATGATTGTTGAACTTATTAATATATTTTTTAAATCGATTAATTGCTATTTTTACATAAAAAGGGGTTTTAGTGGCTTATGGTGTGGATTTATTAAGTCCTTAGGCTTCGTAAACACGATAACTTTTGAAAATATTAATTGTTCAACTCAATCTATTTTTTCAGTGATTTAGCAGCCTTGTGTGAATTCATTTTTTAGTAAACAGAGACTGCCTCACTCGGTTAGTTCGCCGCCTCCTGATTATATTATCTTATCTATGTTCGCCGTCAATCGCCGTTGTGAGTGGATACTGTATCGGTTGCTTGCAGCGGCTCAAAAAGGCTCAGCGGTCTCGCTGTACAAATAAATACAAAATATTAGAAAAACAACTTTTTTCTACGTGGTAGAGCCATGCTGCAGCTATATTATGGTTGTAGCACGAATGGGTCGGTTTAACGGGGAAGGACCACGCTCTCAAAGAAAACCAGCGTAAAATAGCAGCTTCACGCTGCTGTGTTTCGTATGGTGAGTGTAGAGAACCGGAGACCCTTTTTACTGGCAAAGAGGCATTCCATCTTAGTCCGCACGGGTGACAACGCATCTGCATCTTGAGTCTTTATTGAGGATAGATGTAGATGTCTATGGGTCACAGTAACCACTTACCATCAAGTGGACTGTGTGCTCGTTTGTCACCCGATCCTATAAAAAAAAAATACTTGATTATCATAATAATCAGAGATTTTTACTACAATATTTTAATAGCACAGAATAAATAATAGTAGTACGTACTAAAAGTAAGTAGGATGTAATATTTACACTTAAATACGTACTTGGACTTTATACTACATGAATGATGATCATGTGCGCATTATGAGTCGTGCACTTTTGGATTTTCTAAACTTTTTTTAAAATTGAATTATTGATTATGGCATGCTCAATTGGATTAACCAATACTTTTTGTTTATTTTACCACTTGTTTTAAATTATGAACCATAAACATTACAATGTCAATATTTCGTGAATATTGAAAGCCTGTGTAACGGGCATTGCACTTTTGAGGCTGATGTTTATGTTCTGAAGCTTTGTGATTACCTACTACTTACTTACCCTATAAACTTATTATTGTTCAATGGCAACTGTAGGAACGAGAGTGCGCGACGAAAATTGCGTCATTGTCTAGGCCGTTAATCCTTACTTTTATGAGTTATCAAAATTAAACTTTATTCCGTTCAAGATAAAGTATGAATTGGTTTGACACTAAATTGCTAGTTAACCCTCTAGTTCTACTAATCATTCTGTGGCCATACGTAAGCAGATGTTATATAAATACTGAATACTGATACCAAAGAGAACATAACCACTACGTTTAAAGCGCTTATTACATTATTCAATTTTTAGGAAATCTAATTAGGAAATTGGAAAGTGTAATCAAAGTTAGAACAGTTAGGATCCGATTTAGTTAAAGTTGGAGGTCCCGAGTCGGACTCCCGACCGCTCTACTTTCTAAATTGTCTACAATTTAGGACAGTGTAATCGCAACGTTACGATTTAGAACGACCAGTCGGTGCCCGCGCTTCGAGCTAAGTGGGTGTCTTGACTGCGCGTGCGACATTTTTTTGCGATGGCGAGTACAGATGGGCAATACACCCACCTGGGTTTAAACCCAGGTGGGTAAAAACCCGGTGTTTTGGGTGTTTTGGGTTTAAACCCAGTAAACACCCAAATTTTTGGGTGTTTACGATTTTTAACTTAAATTCGAAAACCTATTCTACTTCTCGACCTCACCAAATGCTAGCTGGTACAGTGGGCCACAGTTCCAGCTACCCGTTTCCGTATTTTCTATCGATAGACCAAGGCGACACTAAAGACCAGATATGGTTAGCTTGAGCTATGGCCCTGCGAGTGTGTAGAAGAGATCCGCATTAAACACAAACTTAATATTCAGTAATAAAAACACGTAAAAATTAAAGTCATGAATTCATGATTGAAAATTCATTTCAATCATAACATTTACTTGGCATTTATTTATACTCACTATGTGACTCTAAGTCGGACTCAGGAACAATATAGTAAAGTAATGTTATTATGTCGCCTACAAAATAAAAATTGTGTTTGAGTCTATTCTCATCCCAGGGGGTCAGAAATTGAAATGATGAATTTGAATTTCTATGACGGGTCTGGGTGTTTCTATGTATAAAACATGTATTTAAAAAGTATATAAGTAGTATATCCATTAAGCTAGCACCCATAACATAAGCATATTAGTTGCTTACTCTGGAGCTAGGTAGCATTGTGTGAAATTGTCCAAAGATATTTATTAATTATTTATTTATTAAAAAAGAGATAAAATAAAATAAAAATGCAATCAATCACTATCCGATTCAACACTGTCACAGGCGACAAATTGGATAGGTTCCATCTCGTCTGAACTATTATAGTCATTTACTTCATCGATGAAAGCTTCTATGACATTTTCTTCTTCATTTTCTTCATGAAACTGAATGTTCTCATGTTCATGTTTATGTTTAAGATTCCAGTTATAACAAATGAATGAAATTTTTTCAGATCTTTCAGTTGTAAGTCGATTTCTTTTGTTATTATGTATGTAGCCTTGGATACTAAAGGAACGCTCGGTGGCTGCAGAAGTACACGGAGCTGATAGAATACGAATCGCTACTTTGCTAAGCTCGGTGGAACCACAAATACCTTTCCACCATATTATGGGCTCAGTACTATCTAATGAGCTCCATAGAAATCGTCTGGCCCAAAAGTTTTCTTTAGCTTTGTAACACGCCAAATCTGCCATTAAATTAAACAAACTCAAGTGTTGACTTAAATTGTAGATAAACTCCATACCCTGCGGTTCTTCCTCTTGAGTAAGTTCTAATCCCTGAGTTGTAGGGTCTAGCATATATGCTGCCAAATGTATTGGTCTAATTGCCATATTGCATCTTGAAGAGACTGATGTTAGAATTTGCTGTTTGCTTTCTTCGCTCAATGTTGAAATATCAGTTAAAGTAAAACGTATCTTAACTTGTATATCTTTAAATGTAATGTATGTGCGATGTATACGATTCTGGTCGCTCTCTAAGTAAAATATGCTTTCAGTGACTGGTTCCAAAATACTTATACATTCACCTGTCTTCGTCCAAAAATCATCACTTAGAATTAAATCTTTAATATCTCTTGCAATTTCCAAGTCTCCTCGAACTGCCAATATTTGCAAAGCTGACCTATTTGCTTTTAAACTTTTTAATGAAGTAATATGACTTCCCCATCTAGTAACACAAGGCAATTTTAGTGTTTGTGTAGAATCTTGGCCCTGACTGAATTTTCTCAAAAGTGAAGTCAATCGTTGGCTCTTTTTAAAATATTTTATTATAGTTATGACTTGCATTATAAATAAAGTAATCTCTTGTACCTTTATGATATCTTGGCATAACAAGTTAAGGACATGTGCACAGCAACCGAGAGGAACAACATGTGGATATTTGAGTTTTATTAATTGAAATGCCTTTTGTTTGTTTCTGGCGTTGTCGCCAATAAGTACAAGAAACTTATTTTCTCCATACGCTTGCATTACTTTTTCAATTTCTTGACAAAGATATTCACTAGTGTGACGATTAATTTCTGTATTTAAACTTTTTATATATGCAGGTCGAGGTTTTGATATAAGAAAGTTTATTTTTCTTCATTTATTATATTAGACCGGCCATCGCACTAAAGGTGTAAGTAAGTACAAGCGTTTAGTTCCTTGTGTTCGCATAGCGGTTCTATTGTTTTTTTTTGTAATTGTATAAAAAAGTTATCAGCTAAGCCGTAGCCGTAGCCGATCTCCAAATATAGTGAGACTATATAGTGAGACCCAGTGTCCAAAAGATTTGCCCGGGATAGCCACAATGAAAAAAAACCAGAACAAACAGAGAAAAACACTTACAAAAACAAAGAAGAAACAAACTGCTCCAAATGCGCAACATTGTATGAAGAAAATGATAAAAGAAACGAGCATTTTGGAATGTTAGTGGCTGAAGAATTTAAATATATACGGCCATGTGTGCGCACGAGGTGTTATGAGGAAATTTTAAAATATCTACGGCAAGCAAAAGGCCAACATGTTGGTCAACTACAACATGAAAGCACTGAAAACTAATATTGGGTGACGTTTCTTTAAATTTCTATAGTTGTATTGATCATTATAATCAATAAATATAAATTTTAAAACTTGTTTTTAATATTACTTAAGTATTTACACAAATTAAATAAACACCCAATTTTTTGGGTGTTTATGGGTGTTTACGGGTGTTTATTGGGTTTTTACCAAAGCACCGGGTTTTAACCCGGTGCTTTGCCCATCTGTAATGGCGAGTGAAGCGACAGAACTGAGCAGTGATTCGTGTGGCAGCATGTCCACAGAAAAAGAGGTGTTATTACAAATTATAGACCTGTATAGGGTAAATGCCCTATTTGTATAATAAAAATGATGAAAACTATTTAAAAAAAGCAATGCGTGAAGAGGGCTTCAAGGTGTTGTTAAATATTTACAAATACAATGACAAGTATTCCTTAACCCAGCATATTCTCTTTTTTCTTTTTTAATATCCATTGTTCCCACCACGGCTAAGGCAAGTCCTGTTTTCTGCTGTTTTGATAAATACGGCGCCATGGATCAAACGTGCAACCCCGTCGATACTTCTTTTACGAATGTGCTTCGTCACGATTTAGAATTCAGTTTAGTGTAATGTGATCACTAGCTTCCAACTTAGGTTCCTAATTAGATTTTCTAAAAATTGGATAATGTAATAAGCGCTTAACTGATATATGCATCAAGTAGTTGACAAGTGATGCGCCATGATTGACGTCTATGCGTTATTGTACTACATTACTTAGTTTGAGTAGGTTTTAGCAGATCAATAAAACACAGGTGTGAAGTTTTAAAACGATGTTTATTAATCTAACACAAACAACTTAAAAACGGTTAACTTTTTATATAATGGTCTGTTTGTTTGTTCGATCGCAGATTTACGTTCAAGATGTTTCATTGAATAACATCCACAGAATACTTTTACTCCTGGCGGAGATGCACTTGATTACATCCACTTGTTTTGAGGAAATTGTGGACATAAACACGTAATTACGTAATCACACTTTCGGAAATCTGAAATTAGAAAAGTATTTTGATTGTATTTAACTTTTTTATGTGCCTATATAACAAAGCTACACAATTTAAAATTTGTTAATCATTCGATTCATTCGATTGATAAATGAGAATACTTTTCATAATCTAAATGTTACGTACACATAAAGATGTAACCGATATATTCGTATTCGTTAAGATATTGGTAATATTGGGTGTATTCATAGATCAGTAATCCAACGGATTCTGATATGCTAATATTCCATATTCACTTTATTTATACACTAACTGTTCAACATCGGTTGGATAATATCACTCGGCTCGACCCGAATGCTGATATTCGTGACGGATATCTGTATCATTCGTATCGTAAGTATAGCGGTGCAAGCGAGCTAGCCGTATGATCAAATGAATCAACCGATATGAGCGTTTGACGGGTATTCATTCTCTATTTTATAGTGCTTAGGGACTATTTTCAATTCGATATTTTATATCACGGCGACCAGCAGCGGGACTTTACAAATAAAACACTTTATAGATGTTTAAAATTTATTGACTCTAGTAGTTTTTTTTAATAGTGTATATTTAAATTTATTTATTGTAATAAATTATGCTTGGTAAAATAAACTTATTACCTATATGAATAGAATAGTGATACGTATAATCGTTATATTAAGATATCAGTAATATTCATATATTAGTTTAAATATTATAATATCACGACGAATATATTCATATTAACTAATACTGACAAATATCGGTATTAACCCATCTTTACGTACACAGAACACTAATACCCTTAGGGTTACGTATCGCCAAATAAAATAAGCAAAAATCTTTGATCATGCAGTCTAGTCCGATTTTTATTTTTTGCAAAACTTTACAATATACTGTTGTGCTACATTGCAAAGTTCTTGAGAGATTTGACGACACTTTAACTTGGTGGATTGTGGATGACGTTAGTATTTCAAGACCCCTAAGCGGATAAAGAAATCTTTGATCTTTACCATTTCTTACTATTTTACAAGTTTATCTAGCCAAGTTGAAAATAAGGGATAACTGCCATTGTGGAAGTGGGTAAGATGAGGAAGCCTCCAACTATATCTTAACTGTCCGGAATTCTGTATGAAAACTTTTTTCAATGTGTCATTTTAAATTTTTACTTTTCACATGCTGTTATTAGACACCACTTTGTAATTATTTTTGTTTTCTAAGCAGTAGTTAATAAACAATGACTTTCCAGATTTTTACTAATGATGGCGTCATAAAATGGGCTGAAGAGTTACTATCTATTTTTGTCAAGCATAAATAAGTAATGAAAAGTCGTAAATTGACATTTTATGTAGATGACGACATCTTATTGTTAGTAACTAAATAAAATTTTTGTTTTTCGCATATTTTATTATAATCCGATCGTAAAGCCAGAAATGTGAAAAACGGATGAATTAATATAATTGTAAAAAAATCTTTGTACCATAGTGTCAATAATTTTATATTGAAGGAGTAATCTTGCGCAAACTGTTTGATAATAAAATTTAATCCAAATTTTAGGAAGACTGCCCTCGTAGCATAGCAATTGTCAATGATGGGTAGGCTGTATTTAATGAATAAATGAAAAAACCCTAATGTTATGGAGATATACACCTGAGTTGTCTACTGTGTTGACACGCTTGTTCCGCCTCTCATTTAGTACTAGAATAGTGCCAAAATCCTGGAAGCTGGCCAACGTGCAGCCTGTTCTAAAAAAAGGCAGTCGCACCGACCCTGCTAATTATCGTCCAATCTCAATTACCTCCATACTCTGCAAGATTATGGAGCGTATATTGAATACCCGCTTAATGGCATACCTAGAACAGAATGACCTCCTTACTTACCGGCAATATGGGTTTCGCCGAAATCGGTCAGCTGGGGACCTTCTAGCGTATGCCACACACGTATGGGGCGAGGCACTCGAGAACAGTGGGGAAGCACTTGCTGTTTCCCTCGAGGTCTCGAAGGCCTTTGACAGAATTTGGCACACTAGCCTTTTGGGGAAGCTTCCAGCGTACGGCTTATCCCCTGTTCTGATTGAATGGGTAAAGGACTTCCTGAGTGAACGGTCTCTCCGGGTCGTCGTCGATGGCTGCTCATCCGATCCTATGGTGACTAACGCCGGTGTTCCTCAGGGATCTGTTCTCTCCGCAACTCTCTTCCTGCTGCATATTAATGATCTGCTTATGCCCGGTATCTATGGGTATGCAGACGATAGCACAGTTGTTGAGAAATACCAACGAAGTTCTTGGGCCAGTCGGGATCAAATCCAGTCCGAAAGAGAAGCTATGGTAGAGCGTGTGAATCTCACATTACAGGCAGTCTCCGATTGGGGCGATGCCAATCTTGTGAAGTTCAACGCCTCCAAAAGACAAGCGTGTCTCTTCACTGCAAAAAGGTGCCAGCTCACCTTGGCTCCTTCTTTCCGAAATATATCACTGAAATATACCGACCGCCTTCAGTTGTTAGGGTTTGAAATATCATCAAATTTGAACTTCGGGCGGTTCATTGAGTCCAAGGCCAAAGCAGCTGCAAGGAAGCTTGGAGTCCTTGCAAAGGTGTGGCGATGCTTCACGCCAGGACATCTGCTTACTTTATATAAAGCGCAAGTCCGGTCGTGCATGGAGTATTGCTGCCATATATAGGCTGGTGCTGCAAAATGCCACCTAGCAGCTTTGAACTCAATGGAAAGGCGTGCTAAGAGGCTTATTGGTGACGCGAATTTGGTTAAAACCAATCTTACCAGCCTCAAACACAGATGTAAAGTAGCCAGCCTTTAGGTTTTCTACAGGATGCATTTCGGAGAGTGTGCGCAGGAATTACATAATTTAATTCCACCCTCTCCCTTCCACCATCGGACAACCAGACGTTCGGCCAGTCTCCACCCTTTCGTTGTTGACTTACCACGCATTCGAACCAAACGGTTCGCCACGTCGTTCATCATGCGTACAGCAAAGTAGTGGAATAAGTTGCCAGCATCTGTTTTTCCATCCGATTACAGTGTGGGTGTCTTCAAGGCAAGAGTGAATAGGCTTTTGTTAAGTCAGTGCGCTTCACCATATTAGCACCACCATACTACATCACCACTTACCATCAGGTGGGATCGTAGATAAGCTTAGTAGAATATTAAAAAGACATATAATTTTTATGCCACCTCTCACTGTATAAAGCGCAACACATTGAAGCGGCCACGCACGATGTAAATCTACGTGTAGTAATATCTGTAGATAGAAAGGAACTTAAGTTTAGTTATATATTTCTTATTTTAGTTCACTTCTATGCTTTACTTTTTGTTCTTAGGTATGATACCATCTACGCCAGCCAAATAGTAGTAGTTTTTTGTTGTTACGATTTGCCTTTTAAGGCAGGCAAAGGTCCACCATACAACCTAATCCGATGTGTATTTTAATCACAAT